CCCCAAAACCCCAAAACCCCAAAACCCCAAAACCCCAAAACCCCAAAACCCCAAAACCCCTAAAATTTATTTCTAGATTGAATTATTTCTCTAAGGTAAAACTTGAAAATGGTAAGCTGCTTTAGGAAGCTAGAGTTATTGCTGAACTCCAAATTAGAAGCTGTCGTTAGCTTATGGACTCTAGACTGTCTGTTGATTGACGCTTTCAGTCTGTTTTTTGCTTATTTCTCTTACCATTACTACCCAAGTGGTTTTATAGATGCAGTCATTCTCAAATCGAAGAAGGAAGGTTAAGAAGAAGAACAGCGATTGTATAGATTTTCATCAGAAGGCAAGTGAGTGGTAAGATCATTATTAATCTCCCTTCTAGCCTGAAAGCCACCGAGATGTACACTTTTTACTAATTATTAGGAATTATGCTGATTATAAATAATGTCATTGAGGATCATATTTCCAATGTGAAAAAGCCATATGTGCCAGATTTTGGGATTGAAGAGGAGCTTCATCTCACTCATAAACCTGCGAGTACTCTTTTTTATTACTTTTCATAGGCAATTATATGAATTTGACTGATGAGGATCAGCTCGGCCACAGCCAAAAGACTGGTATTCAACTATTTTTATAACTTTTAGCCATGAAAGCCAATAGCAATTGGATGTTGATAGGTAATATAAACTAATGATTCATTCTTTACTTATATATTAGCTGATTATGTCAATAAAGTCCCTAAAAATGAGAAAGTATTTCGAGTTATACAGAAAATTAATTCGATGAGAGATCAAGCCATGATTTTAGCTGCCAAAGACTCTCAATCAAAAAAGTATTTCCCATTGCTTAGAGTATAGGAGGAAGAATCGGAATAGGCTTATGTCCAAGGATAAGAAGGTTCTTGATATTAGTAAGTGATTCTTTCTTTGCCATTTTTACTAATAATCTTTTAGGTCCTCCTAACGCTGCTGATAAGCCAAGTCAGGACTCTCCGAAGGAGCTAAAAGGTAACTTTTCAAGATATTAAGCTTAGAAAATGAGGGCATCAGTTGGCTAAAGGATTGGATGATCAAGAATAATGCAAAAGCAATGAAGAACTTACACAAGTTACCTCGTCATTCTCATGCTCTAGGCCAAGAAGAGTCCACTTGAAAGATAGAAGCTTCGCATTTAGCAAGTCAAAGTCCAACCTTCGGACAGGTAATTTACTGTATAAAATATAGAAAATGCAACTACTAAATTGAATTCCACGTTTGCAGGAAGGGTTTACCAGAACTTTTCACCTGATTTGAGAAAGCCAAGTCCAAATCAGGACCTAAACGACAGTTTCATTAAGTAAGCTCTCTCCTGATCTGTAGATGTGTTCCAGTTTCCCCAGAAAGCTCGCACAAGAATATCGAGGAGTCGATGGGTGAGATAGACATTAATCCTTCTAGATATCAAAAATATAGAAAAGAGCATTAAGAAGTTATCCGAATTGAAATCTTTGGTAAACCAGACCTTTATGAGGAAGAGCTGGACCAGGAACTTCAATGATGACAGAAAGGCTTCTCTCAGCCTCATCAAAATGCACCTCATCCCTTCCAAAGATAAGGTTATCAAAGAGAATCTAAGCTTGGATAAGTCGGGTATGTATCTTTGATAACCGGCAGATAATTTTGGAGATGCATCTTTCCCAAATCCAGAATTTAAGAGGACCAATCTGACAAGTCAGTAAGTCCATCTTCAGACAACCTATAGATTTTCACCCTCTAAAAGAAGCCATGAGAGAGACCTTTTGAAAGGGTCAAGCAATGAACTGGACCTAATGAAGAAATACCTAAATGAATCGGAGAGAGTACTGAAAATCATTGTTAAGAAATTATCACAGTTGTTTAAAACTATGAAGCAAGTTCTTAGATTTCCGAGGAAGAACGAAATCAAAGAATCCAGTAAAATTATAATGCCTATACCTTTAGTGAAGCTTTATAAGCAGCTCTGCATGCCTAATAAGAAGAACCCTGTAATTCCGCCAGAGCATGAAGATAATATTAAGATATTCATTTTGCAAGACTTGATAAGTCTAGTCAGTAAGTCTCTCTTGCTCAACGGTAGGGAATAAATGTACAGGACAGAAGCTAAACTTCAAGATGTAAGTGGCAACATACAGGGAGAGTTTCCTCCTCATTTACTTCTCTGAGTGATTGTGTAGATTCATGGCAACGAACAGATTGTATTCCCACCCAGAAGTACTCGAAGTGATTAAGCAAGTTAAATATTTTACACAAAACTCATTCTCTAAATAATTATGAAAGTGATAAAATGAAGAAAGTTAACATCCAAACAGTACTCAAGGAAATCAGGAGAGATGAAAGAAGTAAGCTCAAGCTCATTGATTATCTAGTGGAGGAAGGAGACTTATCTATCTCATCTCCAAGTCCTACTCGTGAATATGGTATGGCGTCTTCCTATTTCATCTAGATTCTTCCAATCCTCAGTACAATTTCAGCATGTGAAGAGAGGAAGCTAAACAGTCAATGAGGGATAGATCAGCTTGACCTTCAATTATCAAAGAGATTTTGCAGAACAAACTTGTTCCCAAGTCTAACAGACAGCATAGAAGGGAGAAAATTATGAAGAAAGGAGTGTCAAGCAACCTTGCTCCCATCATAAATACCTTCTCTTCAAAAAGGCAGAATAAATCATTAAAGGAGCAGAGAACTGTAAGAATTCAGAGATTCTCCAAAGGTCAGCCAGATTCGGAGGTAGTGCATTTCCCGAAGCCATTAGGGACTTACAAAAATAGACTTTTGAAGATTTACAACTAGTTTGATCTTTCAACCCTGTTTGGATCAAAAGGGGTTTTGGGGTTTTGGGGTTTTGGGGTTTTGGGG